TTGTTTCGTGATGGCACCTTAATCTTAGTATGTATTTTAATTACTAACTGTAAAGAAAATCCCATATTTAATTAATAACTCTTATTTTAATAATACTAAATTACATCGTACTCCTAACCCTGTGTGATTATATGTAATTTAATCTTGTCCAGTGGTTTAAAATGTATCTGATGTGATCTGTAAATAATAGATACCTGAAAGTAAAGATGTATTTGGATAGTTAGATTGCTATTGTTTTTAAATCTCGATTGATGGGGAGTATACTACTGAAAGAGTGGAATAAGGTAGTCACAACTAATTAACCTCACCCTTTCAAAAATATCAGGCCAAAAAGGCTTTGATATTTTCAAGAGTTTTTTTATGGAAAAATTTCACCACCAGTGGACAATCTGGTTGAGAGGCTCAGGTATAGATGTTCTGGGAACCTACTATATTTGTGTGCAAAACTGTGCATATGTGTATTTCTCTGAGTACAGGGTTCCTGGCTTTCAAATTATTATTTTTTTATAGCTTCATATTGCCTTTTTTGTATTTATTTTTAAAATCTATCTTTATTGTTGAAAGTATTACAGACATCCCCTCTTTTTTTCCCCCATTGATCCCCTCCACCCCACATCTGCCTCACCCCCAGGCCTTTCCCACACTATTGTCTCTGTCCATGGGTTATGCATTTATGCATAGAATTTCTTTGATTAATCTCTCCCTACCCATCCACCCACCCCCACCTCCCTCTGAGATTCCTCAATCTGGTTCCATGCTTCTGTTTCTGGATCTATTTTACAGATCTAGCTTTCAAATTATTAAAAGGACAAGTAGTCTGCAACCTAAAAAGGGTAAGAATGGCTACAATCAAGACTCAGAAACAGTTAAAAAGGTTAATTAAACGGCATCATACTTATTCCTAAGTACCAGTTAGTGTAGTTAAAGAAAATTTAAAATTCAAACAGAATTCTGCTTGCCTGGGTGACATTTAGTATTTCAGCTCTAATTTAGAAATTTTGTTTCAAGTTTAGCATTATACTCATGGCAAATATTAATAAATATTTTCTTAATTTCTATTAAGTCTTTTGTCTTTAAAATAACCTAAGGAAATACAACATAAGCAACATTTTTTAAAAGAACAAAAGTCTCCCCATAACTTAAATCACAGGGTAGCACTGCATTATAAGGTCTTCCCTGGCAAAGCATCTGTTTGGGATGGGCTTAATAACTGACATTTGTTCTCCTTCTCATGAGTAATGTGGTCACCTTAAATTAATGCCAATAAAACTGGTATAGTACATCATCACAGATGCATATAAAAAGCACAATGCATATATTATATACACACAACAATCATAAACCTGGCAAGAATGACGAACTGACAGTTTTACCATAACTTCTGAAGAATTTGAACATGATACAGAACATTATAAAACATACTATTAAGGTAACAGGATGGCCCCAGGGAAAATGACCCCACAGATAATCATCACCTCAGATTGTCAGGGCCCATTTCAGCCTCGCCCTTCCTCTACCACCCTAGACCAATTCCAGTAAGAACAATGTTCCTGCAATAGCAAGCAGTCAGAGATCTTACCCTCAGCAGCTCCTACAGGCACCCTACGTTCTCAGTACAACACAATGTCAGCCTGGTTAGAACAATAAAGCTAGTCAATGTGATGAAGACCAAGAGTAATACTCTACCTCACAGGCAATAAAGTGCTGGAATTTTAAGTTTTGAAAGTTTTAGAACTTAAAGTAGATTAGTTGTTGCCTAGGGCTGGGGTAGGATTGAAGGGGAGATGAATGACTACTAATAGACACAGGTTAATTTTGGGGGGGTTACGAAAATGTTCTACAGTTGACTGTGAATAGTTGCACAATTCCGTTAATATACTAAAAACCACTGAATTGTACACTTTAAATGGGAAAATTGTATGGTATGTGAATTATGTCTCAAAATATGGTTTAAAAATCATTTTGGGCTACAAAGTACTACAAATCTATTGAAGAATCAAATAATTTTATTCTTATTTAATCCTTTTGAATATAATTGCTCTCTTAAAATAACTAGTATAAATTCAGTCGCCTCACCCAGCTCATTCTCCTCTGCCCAACAAAAATCCACACTTCTTGCCTCCTTTATGAGCCTATGCAAGATGACTGCAGTACTATCTACAAAGGCACAAGCTCACGTACATTCAGGAGGAGCCCAGGCATGTGCAACCTGGATCTGACCCTCACTCAGTTCTTAACTGCCAAGAAACACCCTACAATCCTAAGTAGCTTTAAAAGCAGCAATTTCAGGTTGCCAAAACATAATATAAGTTCTCAATTCCCTATTGCCTTTAACTCAAACCTTTTTCATTACTGAATTAAGGGTCCAAATTCCATGTATTTATACTCATTTACAAGAAATGCTTTGCTTTCAACCATCAGCAGTGAAACAAAATTTGAAAACAGTTTCCAGTGTAAAAAAAATGGGCTAAGGATTTAAGAATGGCCTTCCAATCAATTCTCTATAATTGCCCAGAATATTTCATAAAAACAAATCTGATCATGTCATTCTTTGATTAAATCTTACAATGGCTCTATACTGTTTTTAGGGTAAAATTCAAATTCCTGGCAGGGCACAGAAGGCCAACCCTAAACTTGGCTTACTTTTCCAACCTGCTCTTCTCACTACTCCTTCAGATAACTAGGCTGATTCTTCCTGCCCCTACTGGGATTTTTGGAACATGCAGTTCTCTTCATCTATGACCTTTGGGACTATCTCACAGCTCATTTTCACATCACCTATGTCTTGCTCCACCATATTATAACAACTCAAAACACCATGATTGTACTTTTTTATTGTTTAAAGGAGGGGGCATTCATTAACCATGTACTTATCCCCATCACCCATTATAATTCCTAGCAAAAACATTAAAAACACTAAACAAATATTTGTTGAATAAAGAAACTGAGCAGGGATATTTGAATTGGGTAGAATTCTAAAAGGCCGAAAAAGGAGGCAAAGGAAAGGGAAAAGTTAAGGGCGACCCTAAGGTTTTTGAGCCTAGAGCATCTTGAAGAACCATGGGCCCTTAACAGAAAGGAGAGATTTAAAGAAGACCCGCTATGGGGAAATAAAGGAGTTTGGTTTTAGAAATATTTCATGTATGGCATATTGGCTCAAAAAAACTGATTCCCCCCCCCCCCCAAAA